TACAGACGATGCCTGAATCGTGCCACCTTCAATTTGAACAAGCACCCTCTGCTCTCAGTGCTTGCCTTTATCAAACTCCAGCCCTGATGCAGCGGTGATTAAATGCTGTTTTGACAAGGATGGAGCTCCTCTGGATCTACACTCAACAGTGTAGCATTAACCCCAGTCAATTTTAGCTCTCTGCCAGTGCCAGAGGTATTACCAGACATATTCTAACATTTCCTTTAAAAGCAAGTGAGCAAAACAAACAAAAAACCTTTAACAAAACAGAAACTTTCCATTTTTAAGAAGAAAATACGTGTTCTGGTTATCAGTTACAGTCATTGTATATCATCTGCCATGTATCAATTGTACAGGAGCACTCTGGTGTAAGCTGTATTTTTCCCCAAGCTTTAATCAAGGAGTTTGCTCCCTGAAACATGACAAGGGAAAATACCTCCTATCCCAGGGAGAAAAAGATCAAAAATAACGCACTGAGCTGTGGATGTGCCAACCTAAGGTTTTACGCTCAAGACACTGCATCTTGCAGAAGACAAAAAATTTCAGTTTCTTCAATATGGCTGTATCCTATGCACCTTTTACTATATTTCTTTGCTCTACCTTCCAATTACGCCTGCTTCCACATCCATCGTGCTTGTCAGCAAATACATGTTATACGTATGGTACCATTCCTCAGACATCCATCGTGCTTGTCAGCAAATACATAAGTTATACGTATGGTACCGTTCCTCAGTTCCTCCCAGTTGTTAGATTTCCAAGGATTCAGAGTTTCCGAGGATGAGGGCAATGAGATGAATACATCTATGCACAAGGCACCCTGGAGATACATTACCAGTATTTATTGTCTCTCAAAGGTCTCCCAACAGCTCATATTCTATTAGACGGCTCATTTGTCTCTCAAAGGTCTCCCAACAGCTCATGTTGTATTAGATGGCTCAGAGACCGGTTTGTCTTCTGATGGTTAGGCAGGTTAGCACTGGAGTAACGTGTCAAGAATGTAAAATTCCACAGGGAGAAACATGCAAGTGGAAGTGTCTTGGGATGACCAAAATAGCTTTGCCAGAAGAAAGGCAAAATTTAATCCCAATGTGCCTGTGAAGTTATCTTCCCCTTCAGAAATGATGAAGAAAGAAAAGGAGGAAGAGAGTAGATTTGCAAAGGAAGAAGCACCAAAGAGCAGGCCAAAACTGGGACACTGGGATAGAACAACAGGCACGCTACTCCAGAAAGGAAACAAAAATAAAAAGCATTTCAAGAGAAAAACACAAAAATAAAATGAAAGGAAGAAGGGAGAACACCTCTGGAATAAGGAACGACGGTACACGCTATCTAACACAGCACAAGAGGAGAGAAAGCGTGTGCACGTACACATGCACACACGTGACCTACAAATAACATTCAGCAAAACGTCCATGTCTTCAGAGCGCTAGCACTACACACACACGATCGTTCAGAAACAGCGAGTCCCACACATGCTGCTCTAGAGGTATTGCAGGTTGATACAACCGCTGTCTTGAGGAAATTATCTCAAGGTTACGAGATTCATACCCTGCAACCCTTGCTATCTTCTAGATGTGCTATCCTCTAGCTACTTTACTCAACTAGAAGAAATGGGAGCTTTCCATGTCTGAGACTTGGCCATCATGGCCACAAACAACAGTACGTTAACCAAGACTTGGTGCAGTTGCGAGGGAAGTTGCATTGATACCTGTCCAATAAAACAGTTTGGGTTTTTTTTAAACAAAGTAAAATCCACATGTTACCATCAAACACTTTCGGGCACAGCACCGGAACATACTACTCTTCCAGTTACAATCACAGCAGTATCCACAAAGTTTTGCAGAAGGTAAGATTTAATGTGAGAAGGCGGTAACGAACTAACGAGTGTTAAAGGGCAAATTACTTTGGGCTGTTCACACAGGGTGCAACCATGTACGCTGTCAGGCAACCATAAAATAACATTCCTTCAGTAAGAGCTGCAAATCTAAATCCAATAAACTGTTCTTTGCATGTTTTGGGGACTTCTTTTTTTCTGTTTTGCTTTATAAATTACATAAATCAAACTGACTTTCACAAAAAAGAAACAAAGCCAATGTAATCTTTCTTTTTCCACTTTCCAAGCCCTCTTTTTCTGAATAACATGGAGGTGTTGAAAAATCTTTCTTATTCCTAAGCCAGGTCCTTCCAATAACTGACCGCTGCCTCCTGCCAACTCTCCAGACACCCTTCTTTCCCCACTTGCTACCCTGAGAAGGACCTCTTTGAAGCACGGAGCTAAATCAGGAGTCTCTTTGCTTTGCCCTACCTACCAGCTGCAGCTCCTTGACCCAAACGCAGGGCAGCAGGACAGGGAAAGGGCAGTTCCACAGCTCCCCTACAGCCTAAATACGCGACTGTAACTTTTTGCACAAGTACCATTCCCCTACCTAGCTATCAGTAATTCCAAGTTAATCAGCTGCACTTA